GTAACTTAAGATTATTTGGATGAGTTCCTTAATTTTGCAATAAGTTGACGATCTCCATGTGCCTATTTTTGTAGGCAAGGTCTTTTGGGGTCTTGTTATTGAGATCTGCTACATAGTGTTTGGCACCTTTGTCCATCAAAGCTTTACTATTTTTGTAACCATAACAGGCGGCAATGTGCAGAGGAGTCCAATTTGTTTTATTTGTAGTATTGACATCAGCGCCTTGACTAATCAGCAACTGCACTACTTTTAAGTGACCATGTAAGATTCAATATACAACGGAGTCTCTTTGTTTTTATCGATTGCATTGATCATGGCGCCTTCACGAACCAAAAACTGTACAGCCTCCAAGTGACCAATTAGAGATACAAAGTGCAATGAAATCCTATTTGTTTTATCAACAACATTGACAACAGCGCCTTTACTAACCAGAAACTGCACTACCTCCAAGTGACCATTTTGAGATGCAAGGTGCAATGGAGTCCTATTTGTTTTATTAATAGCATTGACATCAGCGTCTTTACTAATCAGAAACTGCGCTACCTTCAAGTGACCAGTTTCAGATGCAACATGCAATGAAGTACAATTTTCTACATTAATAGCATTAACATTGGCGCCGCCAATAACCAGAAACTGCACTATCTCCAAATGACCATTTTGGCATGCAATGTGCAATAAAGTCCTATTTTCTTTATTAACAACATTGACATCAGCGCCGTTACTAACCAGAAACTGCACTACTTTCAAGTGACCATTTTGAGTTGCAATGTCCAATGAAGTCCAATTTGCTTCAATAAAAGCATTGACATCAGCGCCTTTACTAATCAGAAACTGCACTACCTGCAACTGACAATTTTGAGATGCGTTGTGCAATGGAGTCCAATTTTCTACATCAACAGCATTAACATTGGCCCCTTTACTAACCAGAAGCTGCACTATCTCCAAATGACCATTTTGAGACGCAATGTGCAATGGAGTCCTATTTGTTTTATTAACAGCATTAACATTGGCGCCTCTACTAATCAGAAACCGCACTTCTTCCAAGTGACCATTTTGTAATGCAATGTGCAATGGAGTCGAATTGATTTTAGTAACGGCATTGACATCAGCGCCTTTAATAATAAGAAACTGCACTATTCCAAATGACCATTTTGAGATGCAATGTGCAATGGGGTCCAACTTCCTACATCAACAGCATTAACATTGGCGCCTTTATTAACCAGAAACTCCATTATCTCCACATGACCATTTTGAGATGCAATGTGCAATGGTGTTCTATTTGTTTTATTAACAGCATTGACATCAGCGCCTTTACTAATCAGAAACTGCACTACTTTTAAGTGACCATTATCAGATGCAATGTGCAATGGAGTCAAATTTGTTTCATTGACGGCATTGACATCACCTTTACTAATCAGAAACTGCACTACTTCTAAATGACCCGTTTGAGATGCAATATGCAATAAACTTCCATTTCCCTCCGTAATAGCATTGATATCGGCGCCTTTACTAACCAGAAAGTGCACTATTTCCAGATGACCATTATGAGTTGCAATGTGCAATAGAGTCTTTCCTTCAATAACAGCGCATCTAGTAACCAGAATCTGCACTACTTCCAAGTGACCATTTTGAGTTGCGATATACAATGGCGTTTGTTGTTGATCATCGAAAGCTTCAATATTTGCTCCTCTGTCAATCAATAGTTGAACTACATCGTTGTATCCATTCATAGCTGCGCAATGGAGTGGCGTCAACTTGTCCTTACTTTTGGCATCTATTTCGGCACCAAGGCGTATTAAGTATTGAACCTGCTAATTCTCCGTTGTATGCCGCGACATGCAAGGCCGACCAATTTTGTTAGCTATATTATTAATTTTAGCATTCTTATCCAACAAAGGTGGAGATACTAATTGTTTTTTATTAACGACTGCAGGTTTTGTATTTTTTTTATCAACTTTTGTTATTTTGTGCACCACGTTTTGCCCTAAACAAGAAATTTAATAAATGTGTAGAAAGTTATAATCATGACAATTCAAGATAAGGACACTTTACATTTTACCTATAACTATTTGAGATAGTCCCTGTTGGTAAGATATATCTTCACGCTTCTTAACCTGTTGGTTGCTTTTGCAGATTCCTGTTCGAATTGCCAATATCCTAACGATATCCAGAAATGTTTCACCTTCCTTGTTGACGACATCGCTGGCTGCTCCTGCTTTAAGGAGCAAGTGCATCAGTCGATCATAGTTTTTTTTGGCGCCAACGTGTAGGGCAGTGTCACCATCCTGATTCTGCGCATTTATATTTATTTTCCACTTTTTCAATAATAGTTCCTGGATTATTTCATGCTTGTTTTCTTCCACTGCACAATGCAGGGGAGTATTGTTTTTGTTGGTATCATCGACAATATTAATTAATTGAACACTGCAGAAGTTGAGTAAACCTTGGAATTTTTGCAAATTGTTATCTCTGATAGCCTGGAAGATTTCCTCGTGTTGCACTTTTTCAGTGGATGTAAACAGATATTTTGCCATTGTTGATACAAAACACTTACTTATGTTTACAGTACAAACACTTACTTAAAAATCATCAACTATTCTTGCTCATTTGATTCAGCGCAATAGTACAATACAATTATATATCTAACAAATTTATCGTTATCATATCAGCTGCAAATTGTCGATTGATAAAGGAAATCAAGCCAGTGCTGGTCAACATGCGGTGATAATGGAGTCGAATAATCAGTGGTCAGAGTATTTTTGCTTTATAACTAGATTTATCTTCATTGTGTATTTGAGAATTTTTAGCAACGTCATAAGTTAAAAACGCAATTAGATGTACAACCACTCTACTTGCGCTGTTTTTAGCCAATTTGTTTTACAAAACTAGTACGCACTATTAATATTAATTTCAATAGAAATATTATTGATACTGTTAAATAGTTATTAAAATGAAATGCAATGTGTAATTCTAAATGGCGAGAACTCTTTTTCATATATTTAATGCATTTTTTAAATATTTCTAAAATTATAAATGATAAAATCTTGAAATGATTAACTTATCTGTATTTTTTTGATATTATGATAACTGAGAATATTATCTGAAACAGATAATTCTATTTTTTTGCTTTTTCAAAGAATAATTTTTAATCAATTTGCAAACTTGTCGTAGGGTAAGTTATAGAGATTGCAAAAAATCGAAAATAAAAGTAAAGCCGATTATTAATTAGTGAAAATTATAACAACAATCAGGTTTTGTTGAAACCCTCTAGGAATATATTGGTTATTCTAGTATTATTATTTTAATACTACATTATTTTGTTCTGACATATGTAGGTTATTATAAATGTTTGAGAAGCTAACTAAATTTTTTCTTAAAATTGTGTTTCTAAAAATGTAGTGATTACAAAATTTTGTAAAATCTACCCTTGAACATGTAACATCAAAGTTTTTAGGTATTACCAATAATCAAGAATTATGGATTATAAATAATTTTAATATTAATTCATTATTATTTAAAAAATACAATATTTTGAAATAGGCTACCTGTATACCTATCTACCAGTTTTTCAGTCTACCTGTCTATTAGTCCTCATTTTTACTATCCTACCTATATATCTATCTATGTACCTATTTATCTGTCTTCCTCAACCACTCTAGGTATCTATCTACCTGTCCACCTATTTATCTGTCTAACCTGTCTATCACATTTACACACATTGAACCCTTATCAATTTTAGTATTTGTGACTATAGTAGACACTAGGGAATGCAATACCCTATTTCGGCGGTATTTTTACAGGTATTTACCCCAAAAATACCGGTATTTTCGGTATTTTTACATAAGCGCTGTTTGATACATAATACACTAAAGTTTAAATTTCTCGGAACAAATTTATCGTTAAATTCCATAATCGCATAAACAGCTATATCTTCAAGTGATTCTATAGGATAAACAAATGTCAAATATTATCTCAACTCGTCATTAAATTGAATATTTATTGCTTTACTAAAGGATTCATTTATATCGTGTTACAATAAATAGAATTGGACTGATAGATAATGATGTTTGTTTCATCTTATGTAAAAATGTAACGGTTTCTTAAGTGATATTTGCGCCAAAATATTTTATATCATACAGATTACCCCTGCGTAATCTTTATTTTTTCTAACTTTATACATAATAATTATGATAATTACTAAATATTTTTGCTTCTTATTACAATTATAAAATATTATTTTTCGAAAACGTTTCGAAGTTTGAAAATACTATAGAAGCATCACATTGTTTTAAATAACAATACTCAACAATTATAGTAACGTATTATTTATCTCGACAAAGTATCCGATCTGAAATTAGTGTAGAAAAATTATTTTTTTAAAATATTGGAGATTACGCTAATTTAACACATAGAACACAGGCAATACAGTTTATTATAATAATGTAATATGATCTTTCATAAGTTTTTGGCCTATCTTACTAATAAGTTTGTTTTTGGTGAAAAGTACTCAATATCGAGTATATATAGTGATAATGAATTAATTAAATTGGATATAATTTTGTTAAATTATTATTAAAAAAAAATAAACTTATTGTTTTATTTTATTGTTTTTATTGTTTAGTTGAATATAGTTGTAGTTGTATATACCTTTTTTTTGTATTTGTACTAGTAACTTTTAATTTTGTTCACATCTGTTTAAGATAATAAAAATACCGGTAATTTACCGGTATTCCGGTTTTAAAATGAAAAATTACCGAAATACCGGTATTGAAATTTTCCATCGGTATTGCATTCCCTAGTAGACACACTTAAGTGAAATATATTAAATATTCAATATTCTACAACAATCAAAAACATTTTTGGAAATATTCCAAATTTACTCATTATTATATGGGACTCAGAGAGCTAATAGTTACTTGTAAGTTTCGGCTCTGTAACTTTTAAACCATTCGATTGATATGAATGATGTATTTGAGAAATTTGTGCATAATTAATCTATCTTTGTTATTGTCTAATATTTTGATGACCTGCAGCAACTCGGTATACTCTAAAATCGTTTTGGAAGTAGACATGATCTTCGATTTAGTAGCTTGAATTTGAACAAAACATTTTAGTTTCTAATTTTTATTATCATATCGTATAAAATATTTGTTACTTTTATACATCATTAAAAAGCTAATAAAATTACTATTATCTTACAATTTTATAAATGTATATTGCTTTAGTAAAATTTTGTGAATAATAGTATCAAATATCAAGTTCAGTGCTGATGGAATATTGGTGCATTGATTTCTCATATCTCATGTAATAGATACAAGAGATATGTCTCATATCTCTTGTAACATTTAAACCATTCCATTAATATGAAGGATAATTTTAGGAAATTTAAATTATCTACAATATTGACTTATATAAAACAAACCTGAGATTAAAATTTTATTATGTTTTGATTTTGGATAAAGAAAGTTCTTGCAAACGCTCATTTTTTACGCCTGGTACAAGTTACAAATAATTTGCTGAAATGTAAATTTGAAAGAAGTCGAATCAGGCTTTAAAAATTATATATATATATATATATATATATATTATATATTAACTTATAAGCTAATTCAATTGGTAAAAATTACGCCATAATATTATTAAGGCAGTCTTAAATTACACATTCATATTTTTATATATTAAGAAAAAGACCATTAAACCACCTAAAATTTTTGTGTATACAAATTTTGATGTCTGGTATAAATTTTTTAGCAAAAACTCGTATGAAACTTGAATATTATAAAAAATTCTTTTATACTTGTATATTTCGTCATTATTATTAAATAATGACAATTAAAAATACTACAATATTTAGTTCTGAAATACACAGGTTGTTATAAATCTTTGAAAAGTTCAGTAATTTGGTTATGACACAGCATTTTACTATACTATATACGTTTTTATACCACTATTTTGTAAAAGTTAGGTTCAAGCATGTAACTAAATATTATTTAGATGAGTTCTTTAATTTTGTAATAAGTTGACGATTTCCATGTGCCCTTTTTTGTAGGCAACGTTTATCGGGGTCTTGTTATTTAAATTTACTATATTAGTGTTTGCACCTTTGTCCATCAATGCTTTGACTATATTTTTGTGACCATAATAGGCGGCAATGTGCAGAGGAGTCCAATTTCTTTGATCGACAGCATTGACATTCGCATCTTTACTAACCAGAAATTGCACTATCTCCAAATGACCATTTTCAGATGCAATGTGTAATACAGTCCAATTTTTCTCAAGAATAGCATTGACATCAGCGCCTTCACTAATCAGAAACTGCACTACTTCCAAATGACCATTTTGACATGCAAAGTGCAATGGAGTCCCATTTCTTTCATTAACAGCATTGACATTAGCGCCTTCACTAACTAGAAACTGCACTATCTCCAAATGACCATTTTGAGATGCAATGTGCAATGCAGTCCAATTTTCAACATCAACAGCATTAACATTGGCGCCTTTACTAACCAGAAACTGCACTATCTCTAAATGACCATTTCGAGATGCAATGTGCAATGGAGTCCAGTTTTCTACACTATCAGCATTAACATTGGCGCCTTTACTAACCAGAAACTGCACTATCTCTAAATGACCCTTTCGAGATGCAATGTGCAATGGAGTCCAATTTCTATCATTGGTGTCATTGACATTGGCGCCTTTACTAATCATAAACTGCACTACATCCAAGTGACCATTTTGAGATGCATTGTGCAATGGAGTCCAATTTGTTTTATTAACAGCATTGACATCTGCGCCTTTACTAATCAGAAACTGCACTATCTCCAAATGACCATTCTGTGCTGCGACATACAATGGCGTTCGTTGTTGATCATCGATAGCCTCAATATTCGCGCCTTTGTCGACCAATAGTTGAACTACATCTTTGAATCCATTCATAGCTGCGCAATGGAGTGGCGTCAACTTGTCCTTACTTTCGGCATCTATTTTGGCACCAAGGCCTACCAAATATCGAACCCTTGCTAATTCTCCATTGTATGCCGCGACATGCAAAGACGACCAATTCTTGTTAGCTATATGGTTTATTTTAGCATTCTACCCAATAAAGGTGGACTTACTAATCGTTTTTTATTATCGATTGCAGGATTTGTAACTTTTTTGTCAACTTTGTTATTTTGTGCACCACGCTTTGCCCTAAATACGAAATTTATTAAATGTGTAGAAAGCTATGACAATTCAAGATAAGGTCACTTTATTTTGTACCTATAACTATTCGATGGTCCTTGTTGGTTAGATATATCTTTACTCTTCTTCACCTGAGGGTTGCTTTTGCAGATTCTTGTTCGAATTGCCAATTTCCTAACATATCCAGAAATGTTTCGCCTTCCTTGTTGACAACATACTGGCTGCTCCTGCTTTGAGGAGCAAGTGCATCAGTCGATCATCGTTCTTTTTTGGCGCCAACGTGCAGGGCAGTGTCACCATCATCGTTCTGCGCATTTATATTTAAACCCCACTTTTTCAATAATAGTTCCTGGACTATTTTACCTGTTTTCTTCCACTGCACAATGCAGGTGTTATGTTTTTATTGGTATCATCGACAATATTAATTAATTGAACACTGCAGGAGTTCAGTGAACCTTGGACTTTTTGCAAATCATTATCTCTGATGGCTTGGAAAATTTCGTCGTGTTGCACTATTTTAGTATATGTTGGCAGATTATTGGTCATTGTTGATGCAAAACACAAACTTACATTAATAGTTCAAACGCTCACTTAAAAAATTATCAACTAGCAATGTGAAAAGTACAATACAATTACAATACATATATAACAAATTTATCGTTATCATATCAGTTGCAAATTGTCGATTGATAACCGTAATCAAACCAGTGCTGGACAACATGCGGCAATAATAGAGTAGAATTATCAATGATAACAGTGTTTAAAAGTTGCTATGTGTTGTAGTAAAAAATTGACAACATTTTTGCGAAAAAAATAACATTTGGTGATCTGAAATGATCATTACAAACTATTATTATTATTCATAAACATGTAGATATATTGATACTCAGATGACAGGTAGGCAATTGGGTATGTAGACATGTGAACAGCTAGACAGGTAGACAAGTAGACAAGCTGCAAAATAGTCAGATAGACAGGCACGCAGATAGACATCTAGAAAGATAAATATACAGATAAGCTGACTCTCCGATAGGTAGACACTCATTTATAATAATATATTTCTATCGTAGTTTTGACAATTATTAACTTCCCGAAGAAGAAGTTTATGTTTTCATCAAAAAATCCGATTCGCTAATTTTATGTTTTCTCGACGTTTCAAGCCATTCTGAATCGAATGAGACCAAATGTGGAAAAAGTATGTGTGTGTGTGTGTGTGTGTGAACAGATTTTTGCCGTAAATCGAAGTTTTCTCAAAAACGGCTGGACCGATTTCAAAAATTTAAAAGCCATTCGATGTATCTCGATGAGGACTATTGTTTTTCAGTTTTGTGCGATTGGCTAAGTCCTTTCTTTATAAATCGCAGAAAAGTGAAAAAATTTTCCTCTACGTTTTAGCCCGCAATTCTGAAAAATCAAAAACTGTTCGAAAGATATTAGTTGGAAATGATACTGATTAGTTTTAGATGAAAATCTACCGAGCCGTTTTCTTATAATTAACTGTTGAAAAAAAAATTTAGCCGATTTTTATGGAACTTTTTTGGCGATGTATATCATGGTCTTATAGAACTTACTGAAATATTACGGCCTTACGACATGCAGTTTAATTTTGAAAATTCATCAAAATTTGAGAAAATGAGTAGTTTTTTGACGTTTGTTAAAATTAAAATTAGACGATTTACTTGGTATAACGATAGAGTACTTGGTCTTAAAAAACATACTAAACCATTAAAGTCCTACGGAAACTGGTTCAATTATAAAAATGGTTGATTTTTGAAAATTTGCTCTTAGAAAATATTCCGAGTTAATGTGGTTGTTCGTTTTCATACTAATCATTCATAAATTAATTTATTTTTTATTGATTAAGTCGATTATTTACACATATCGGAAAGTTTATGTAACTTGCCTCAAGGCAAAATACCAATACCAACTAGTTTAATATCGCATTACTAGAGAGTATTTATAATATTATTGATTTTTTATTACATTAAATATTCATTTATAGATCACACTGAATTCGATGTTCACCGACTCCTTGTACGTCGTTTGATCGATTATTGGACACAATCTATTCACATTAATTGTAAGGAAACTTATCACTAATTTAGGTGTTTATTGCTAAACCTATTTCTGTACAAACAATTTTGAAAATATAAGCATTTTTTCCTGCAAAAAGTGCAAAATGATCGAATTTCAGGCTAAAAAGTATTTGCAGGCATTTATTAATCGAAGGAATATATGCTGAACTGTTTTATTAAATTCTTTTAATTTTAAACACATTGTGATACAATACAATAAAAATGGTTAGTTTCTGAATACTATTCAAAGATTTTGTTTAATTTTGCAATAGTTCGACGATTTCCTTGTGCCCTGCCTCGTATGCAAGGTCTATTGGGGTCTTGTTATTGAGATCTACTACATTAGTGTTTGCACCTTTGTCCATCAATGCTTTGACTATATTTTGGTGACCAATATAAGCTGCAGAGTGCAATGGAGTCCAATTTTCTCTATCAACAGCATTAACATTGGCGCCTTTACTTACCAGAAACTGCACTACTTCCAAGTGACCATCTTGAGTTGCAAAGTGCAATGGAGTCCAATTTGTTTTATTAACAGCATTGACATCAGCGCCTTTACTAATCAGAAACTGCACTACTCCAAGACCATTTTCAGATGCAATGTGCAATGGAGTACAATTTTCTACGGTAATAGCATTGACATCAACGCCTTTCTCTACCAAAAACTGTACTATCTCCAAATGACCATTTTCAGATGCAATGTGCAATGCAGTCCAATTTTTCTCAAGAACAGCATTGACATAGCGCCTTCACTAACCAAAAACTGTACTATCTCCAAATGACCATTTTCAGATGCAATGTGCAATGGAGTCCAATTTTTCTCAAGAACAGCATTGACATCAGCGCCTTCACTAACCAAAAACTGTACTATCTCCAAATGACCATTTTCAGATGCAATGTGCAATGCAGTCCAATTTTTCTCAAGAATAGCATTGACATCAGCGCCTTCACTAACCAAAAACTGTACTACCTCCAAATGACCATTTTGAGATGCAATGTGCAATGCAGTCCAATTTTCTACATTAAGTGCATTAATACTGGCGCCTTTACTAACCAGAAACTGCACAATATCCAATTGACCATTCTGTGCTGCGACATACAATGGCGTTCGTTCTTGATCATCGTTAGCCTCAATATTCGCGCCTTTGTCGACCAATAGTTGAACTACATCTTTGAATCCATTCATAGCTGCGCAATGGAGTGGCGTCAACTTGTCCTTACTTTCGGCATCTATTTTGGCACCAAGGCCTACCAAATATCGAACCCTTGCTAATTCTCCGTTGTATGCCGCGACATGCAAAGACGACCAATTCTTGTTAGCTATATGGTTTATTTTAGCATTTCTACCCAATAAAGGTGGACTTACTAATCGTTTTTTATTATCGATTGCAGGATTTGTAACTTTTTTGTCAACTTCTGTTATTTTGTGCACCACGCTTTGCCCTAAATACGAAATTTATTAAATTTGTAGAAAGCTATGACAATTCAAGATAAGGTCACTTGATTTTGTACCTGTAACTATTTCAGATGGTCCTTGTTGGTTAGATATATCTTTACTCTTCTTCACCTGGTGGTTGCTTTTGCAGATTCTTGTTCGAATTGCCAATTTCCTAACAATATCCAGAAATGTTTCGCCTTCCTTGTTGACAACATCGCTGGTTGCTCCTTCTTTGAGCAACAAGTGCATCAGTCGATCATAGTTCTTTTTGGCGCCAACGTGTAGAGCAGTGTCACCATCCTCATTCGTTGCATTTATATTCAATTCCCACTTTCTTAATAGTATTGCCTGGACTATTTCATACCTGTTTTCTTCAACTGCACTATGCAGGGGTGTATTGTTTTTATTGGTTTCATCGACAATATTAATTAATTGAATACTGCAGGAGTTGAGCAAATCTTGGAATTTTTGCAAATTGTTATCTCTGATGGCCTGAAATATTTCCTCGTGTTGCACTTTTTCAGTGGATGTAGGCAGATTATTTCCCATTGTTGATGCAAAAAGACTAACTTATATTAACAGTAAAACACTCACTTAAAAAATTATCAACTATTCTTGCTCATTTGATTCAGTGCAATGTGAAAAGTACAATACAACTATATATCTAACATCGATATCATATCAATTGCAAATTGTTGATTGATAAAAGTAATCAAGCCAGTGCTGGCCAACATGCGAAAATAATAGAATTAAATTATCAGTAATGATCATGGTGCTCTTGTTCTTAAACTTGCTATATTTTCAATGTATTATTAAAATTATCAAAGTTAAAAAAAAACATTTGGTGGTCTGAATATTACTATTATTGTTGATTCATAAACATAAAATATTGATACTAGGATGACAGATAGACAGTTGGATAAGTAGACATGTAAACTGCTAGACTGGTAGACAAGCTGCAACATAGTCTGACAGATACGCAAGTAGACATCTAGAAAAATAAATATACAGAAAAACGGGTGAACAGATAGGCTGGTACAAAAGTAGATCAGCTGACTTTTAGACAAGTAGACACTCATTTATAATAAAATATTTTTATTGCAGTTTTGACAATTATTTAGTATCGTTTTACTAGAGAGTATATATAATAATATTGATTGTTTAATATATAAAATGTTTTGATGTTCACTCATCCTATCAACTAGATCACCCGGAATTCGATGTTCACCGACTACTTGTTCGTCGTTTGATCGATTATTGGACACAATATATTTATATCAACTATATAAAACTCATCACTAAATCAAGTGTGCACTGCTAAATGTATTTCTGTACAAACAATTCTAAAAATATAAGCGTTCTGTCTCTGCAAAAAGTGCAAACACGATGAAATTTCAGGCTGAAACGTATTTGCAGACATTTATTAATTGAAGGAATATAAACTAAACTGTTCTATTAAATTATTTTAATTTTAATCACATTGTGATACAATACAATACAATAAAAATGGTTAGTTTCTGAATATTACTCAAAGATTTTGTTTAATTTTGCAATAGTTCGACGATTTCCTTGTGCCCTGCTTCGTAGGCCAGATCTATTGGGGTCTATTATTGAGATTTACTCCATTAGTGTTTGCCCCTTTGTCCATCAATACTTTGACTATATTTTTGTAACCATTATAAGCGGCAATGTGCAGACAAGTCCATTTGTTTCATTGGCAGTATTGACATCAGCGCCTTTACTAATCAGTAACTGCACCACTTCTAAGTGATCATATTGAGATGCAATGTACAACGGAGTCTTATATGTTTATTGACAGCATTGACATCAGCGCCGTTACTAATCAGAAAACTGAGCAACCTCTGAATGACCGTTGCAAGATGCAATGTGCAATGGAGTCCAATTTGTTTTATTAACAGCATTAACATTTGCGCCTTTACTAACCAGAAACTGCACTATCTCCATGACTATTTTGAGATGCAAGGTGCAATGGAGTCCAATTTACTACATAACAGCATTAACATTGCGCCTTTACTAACCAGAAACTGCATACTTCCAAGTGACCATTTTGAGATGCAATGTGCAATGGGTCCAATTTGTTTTATTAACAGCATTGACATCAGCGCCTTTACTAATCAGAACTGCACTATCTCCAAATGACTATTTTGAGATGCAATGTGCAATAGAGTCTTTCCTCAATAACAGCATTGACATTGGCGCCTCTAGTAACCAGAGTCTGCACAACCTCCAAGTGACCATTTTGAGTTGCGACATACAATGGTGTTTGTTGTTGATCATCGATAGCTTCAATATTTGCTCCTCTTTCGATCAATAGTTGAACTACATCTTGAAATCCATTCATAGAGGCGCAATGGAGTGGCGTTAACTTGTCCTTACTTTCGGCATCTATTTTGGCACCAAGACCTACCAAGTACCGAACCTTGCTAATTCTCCATTGTGTGCAGCAACGTGCAAGGACGACCAATTCTTGTTAGCTATATTGTTTATTTTAGCATTTCTTCCCAATAAAGGTGGACTTACTAATCGTTTTTTATTATCGACTGCAGGATTTGTATCTTTTTTGTCATCTTTTGTAATTTTATGCTCCTCACTTTGCCCTAAACACAAAATTTAATAAATGTGTGAAAAGTTGTAATCATGATAATTCAAGATAAGATCACTTTACATTTTACCTGTAACTATTCGACATGATCCCGATTGGTTAGATATATCTACACTTTTCTCAATCTGTTGGTTGCTTTTGCAGATTCCTGTTCGAATTGCCAATATCCTAACGATATCCAGAAATGTTTCACCTTCCTTGTTGACAACATAGCTGGCTGCTCCTGCTTTGAGGAGCAAGTGCATCAGTCGATCATCGTTCTTTTTGGCGCCAACGTGTAGGGCAGTGTCACCATCCTCATTCTTCGCATTTATATCCAATTCCCACTTTCTCAATAATAAGGCCTGAACTATTTCATACCTGTTTTCTTCAACTGCACTATGCAGGGGTGTATTGTTTTTATTGGTATCATCGACAATATTTGATAATAAAACACTGCAGGAACTGAGTAAACTTTGGACTTTTGGCAAATCATTATCTCTGATGGCTTGGAAAATTTCGTTGTGTTGCACTTTTTTAGTGGATGTTGGCAGATTATTGGTCATTGTTGATGCAAAATACTTACTTAAGTTTACAGTACAAACACTCACTTAAACAAAAATATCAACTAGTCTTGCTCATTTGATTTGCAATATGAAAAGCACAATACAACTATATATCTAACATCGTTATCATATCAGTTGCAAATTGCCGATTGATAAAAGTAATCAAGCCAGTGCTAGCCAACATGCGAAAATAATAGAATGTAATTATCAGTGATGATCATGTTCTTGTTCTAAATCTTGCTATGTTTTCAATGTATTATTAAAATTAACAAAGTTTAAAAAAACATTTGGTGAGGCTACGCAAGTAGACATCTAGAAAGATAAATATACAGAAAAACGGGTGAACAGATAGGCTGGTACAAAAGTAGATCAGCTGACTTTCAGACAAGTAGACACTCATTTATAATAAAATATTTTTATTGCAGTTTTGACAATTATTTAGTATCGTTTTACTAGAGAGTATGTGCAATAATATTGATTGTTATATATATAAAATGTTTTGATGTTCACTCATCCTACCAACTAGATCACCCTGAATTCGATGTTAATCGGCTCCTTGTACGTCGTTTGATCGATTGGGCACAATTAACTATTAATTAATTAATACAATATTAATTGTAATAAAACTTGTCGCTAATTCAAGTGTTAATTGCTAAATCTATTTATGTACAAACAATTCAGAAAATAAAAGCATTCTATCTTTGCAGAAAGTGCATACACGATTAAAGTTCAGGTTCAAATTAATATAAACTAAACTTTTCTATTAAATTCTTTTAATTTAAAACACATTGTTATTCAATACAACAAAAATGGTTTGTTTCTAACTATTAGGTAGATGTGTGTTGTAATTTTTCAATAGTTCGACGATTTCCATGTGCCCTTTTTCATAGGCGAAGTCTATTGGTGTCTTATTATTCACATTTATGGCATTTCTTATTGCACCGTTATCTATTAGTTCTTTGACTATATTTTTGTGACCATTATAAGATGCAGAGTGCAATGGAGTACGATTTCCTATAATAACAGTATTGACATTGGCACCTTTACTAATGAGAAACTGCACAACTTCCAGGTGACCTTTTTCAGATGCAATGTGCAATGGAGTCCAATTTGTTTTGTTAACAGCATTGATATCAGCGCCTTTACTAACCAGAAACTGCACAACCTCCAGGTGACCTTTTTGAGATGCACTGTGCAGTGGAGTCCAATTGGTTTCAGTAACGGCATTGACATCAGCGCCTTTACTAATCAGAAACTGCACCACCTCCAAGTGACCATTTTGAGATGCTATGTGCAATGAAGTATAATTTATATTATTGACGGCATTGACATTGGCGCCTTCGTTCAACAAAAATTGCACTACTTTCAGCTGACCGTTTTGAGATGCAATGTGCAATGGAGTCCCATTTGTTTTATTAGCAGCATTAACATCGGCACCGTTACTAATCAGAAACTGAGCAACCTCTAAATGTCCTTTTTGAGATGCACTGTGCAATGGAGTCCCATTTGTTTTATTAGCAGCATTAACATCGGCACCTTTACTAATCAGAAACTGCACTACCTTTAAGTGACCATTTTGGGATGCAATATGCAACGGAGTCGATTTGATTATATCACTTGTATTGACGTTGACGCCTTTGCTAATCATAAACTGTACTACTTCCAAGTGACCATTTTGAGATGCAATATGCAATGGAGTCGAATTTCCTTTGGTAACTGCATTGACATTGGCGCCTCTACTAACCAGAAACTGCACAACCCCCAAGTGACCATTTTGAGATGCAAGGTACAATGGAGTCCGATTTTCTTCAATAACAGGATTGATATTGGCGTCTTTACTTACCAGAAATTGTACAACCTCCAAGTGACCATTTTGAGATGCAATGTGCAATAGAGTGCAATTTGTATTATTCACGGCATTGACATTGGCTCTTTTACTCGACAAAAATTGCACTACTTCCAGCTGACCATTTTGAGATGCCATGTGTAATGGAGTCCCATTTGCTTCATTAACAACATTGACATTGGCGCCTCTACTAATCAGAAACTGCATTATTTTCAAGTGACCATTCTGAGATGCAATGTGCAATGGTGTCGATTTGTTTTTATCACTTGCACTGACGTTTGCGTTTTTACTAATCAGAAACTGCACTACTTCCAAGTGATCATTTTCAGATGCAATGTGCAATGGAGTCCGATATTCTTCATTAACAGCATTGACATCGGCGTTTTTACTAATCAAATATCGAACTACCTCCAAATGACCATATTGAGATGCAAGGTGCAATGCAGTCCATTTTAGTTCATTAAAAGTATTGACATTGATGTCTTTAGTAACCAAAAACTGCACTACCTTCAAGTGACCCGTTTGGGATGCAATATGCAATAAACCTCCATTTTTCTCAGTTATAGTATTGATATCGGCGACCTTACTAACCAGAAACTGCACTATCTCCAAATGACCATTTTGAGTTGCAATGTGCAATAGAGTCTTTCCTTCAATAACAGCATCGACATTGGCGCCTCTAGTAACCAGAAGCTGCACAACCTCCAAGTGACCATTTCGAGTTGCAACATACAATGGCGTTTGTTGTTGATCATCGATAGCTTCAATATTTGCTCCTCTTTCGATCAATAGTTGAACTACATCTTGAAATCCATTCATAGAGGCGCAATGGAGTGGCGTCAACTTGTCCTTACTTTCGGCATCTATTTTGGCACCAAGGCCTACCAAGTACCGAACCCTTGCTAATTCGCCGTTGTATGCCGCGACATGCAAGGCCGACCATTTTTTGTTAGCTATATGGTTTATTTTAGCATTCTTGTCTAACAAAAGTGGAGATACCAATTGCTTTTTTATCATTGACTGCAAGATTTGCATTCATTTTTCAACATTTATTACTTTTGGCACCTCGTTTTGCCCTAAAAAGGAAATTAGTAAATGTGTGGAAAGTTGTAATCATGACAATATAAGGGTATACATATGATTGTTTAGATTATGTCCTCACTGTAGCTCATAGAATACTTGATTTATTCTGATTGTTACATGTAAATTTAATAAAAAAAAAAAAAAAAAAATAAGGGTATACTTATTTTACTCCCAATGGATGTTGGCAGATTACTTCCATTGTGGATGCAAAACTCTTATGTTTACATTATAAACTCTCACTAAAAAAATTATCAACTAGTTTTGTCCATTCGAATTTACACAATGTGACAAGTACACATTTAAATGTATATCTAACAAGATTATTGTTATCATATCAACCGACTGATAAAAGTAATCAAGCCAGGGCTGGCCAACATGCGGTCATAACGGAATTGTATTATTAGTGATGGCCAAAGTGTCCTTGTTTTAAATCTAGATATGTTTTTACTGTGTAATTATAGATAAAACTTTCTTTCATACATGAAGGATCAAAAATGCCATTTTTTCATTATTCTTTAAATTTTCAAAAATTTTGTACAAGAATATAAAAAGCGTTATATGTATATTTATAAAGCTTATTGAATTTTGCATAAAATTGCTTTTTTAGAAATATACAATTTGTGACAAAAAATTACAAAAAAATGGTATCATACTAATAGATTTAGACATTACAACAAGTGACACCTTCAAGATTTTTTACTATTATAAATATTTATAATAACAATGTAACAGATTACACAATCGAATTATAAACAACAATGTAACAAATGTCCTTTTGATTTAAACAAATTAACTATTTATTTATAAACTATTTAGTATTATAAATCATCTTCTTGAGAGAATCCGTTGCGTGATTTTTTCGGCGTTCGAAATGGATCTTTATGGCCTCAATTACGCATTTGTACGCATTACGGAATAAAAGATTATTATATAAATAAACAATTTGAAATTGTTATAAACATATATATAAATTAAATACATATATAAAATATATATATATATAAATATTATATATATATATTAATATATATCTAATATAGATATATATATATATTATATATATAATATAAATAATAAATTATAATAAATATTAATATATATATAAATATATAATATATAAATATATATATATATAAATTATATATAATATTTTAATTGATGTATTGCCCTGAAAACTGAAATCATATATATATATATATATATGTATATGTATAACATGTATACAGACGTTGTTCTGTACCCACATCTACATTTTTTTAATATCCTATACTAATATTTACACCGTTCAGTTAAAAATAATAATTATTGTTTTCGAATTACTATTTACACCAATATATGAGTGATGTTAAATGTAGTACTGTTTCAAATAAAATATTATTTCAATTCCCACAGTTAACACTTTAATTATCTTCTACAAATAATAAAAATGTTCAATAAAATTGTATATTAAAAATTATACACTACAATTAATAGAACAAATTTATTTCCAATAGCTCAATTTATTTTAATGCCAAGGGTTATACAATTTTTCAATCATACCTGTAGATGTGATGTATAAATAAATGATTTTTTTTGTTTATTCACGACTAAAACATTGATTTTCCAAATTTATCACACAAAAAATCATCGTCAGCCTTTGTGATTATGGTCATAGCATAAGATAAACGTGTTGAAAAATGAAGTCTTTTAAAAGGTATAACAACTTCAGAAAGAATTAATATTACCATTCGCGGTAAAGGCACAATATCACCTTAGATTTTTCTACCAAAATAATTGCTTCAATAATGTTGCCTATAATTTTATAATTTCGTACCATATTTTAACTGCCTTTTAGTAATTTACGATCTAAATTACATTTTTTTCACTAATAATTCAATATACATTATTACTTAAATTTATATTTGAAGTGAATTAATTTATCAAATCCTGTTCACATGTGCTCTATTCAACCTACGATCAACAAAATTATTGCAGTAAATAGAGAGGAAAAAAAGCGTGTGCTTTGCGAATTTTTTTACTGTGCTCCAATTTGCTTGATATTTTGGAAATAGACTAATCTTAATCTTAAGTTCAGAAGTGAAACAATTTGCACTCTTTCACCACCCCCGGCATTAATTGGATTATAACTCTTTTAATTCCGATTTTATCAGTACTTGTAATACACTATTTTAATGGTAATTAAATGACCTACAACTTTATCTATCATAAATTTTACCGTAACTTCTCTTATTTTGAAATGGCGAAGGATTGAAGGACTCGAAAGACACTCTGGTTGGACACTATTAATATTTGTGTAACAGAAAATAAATAAAAAGCAATAATTAGTCAGTAAAAATACCTTGAATTTTCATTTATATACCTTTATAGGTATCTTTTCTTTTTTAAATAGATTTTTTTTCATGAAATTATGAGCTTTTTGGAAATCGTTTGTACTAAAGTTGTATTTTCTAGAATCCATCAAGATCTCGTAAACCAAGTTAATTCTAGATAGAATACGATATTTCCAATTTTGGTGGAAATGGCACTCATAAACTATTTTATTTAAATGTATGCGTCCTTTATGTGCATGATAGCTCACTCATTTTACACGCAGAAATACTCATTAAAGCTTATTTTGAGTACTATAAAATCCATTTTCATTAATTGTTTTAGTCTCATTCAATCTTTTCCTCCAATAATAAGTTGTCAATCTTTTACCTCCGGCCCTGTGTTTAAAGTTCAAAGAGCCCAGTTGGTCAATTATGCGAATATTTAACTGAAGATGGAAGAGATTATCATCTCGAAAAGAAAGCAAGGAACTCATCTATTCATTTCTGGGGACTATTCATGTGAAAATGTACTATCACTTTTCTTCGACATTACCATCTTAAGATTAATACCATTACCATCTTAATTATATACGAAATGGTAAGGCGATTGCATAAGATCTAAGGTGAGAACAGTGAGATCATGATTACTGGACCTTTGTTTAAACCTTGAGAAAAACGGTTTTGATAAAGAAATAAGCATATAATAAAAAATATATGTAGGAATCACTAATGAGAATCAAAATATGTATCTCGACTTTATTTTCAAGTTTTATTTGATTAAATTTAAAATATATTGATACATTTTTATTGGTATTTATAATGTTTTGAAAAGCTTATAAAATTTACTACAATGCACATATTTTTAAATATACATTGTCTAAATAAATATGCTCAAATTGCATTCTAAACTACAAAGTGTCACACATTAGAACTTACCTAAACATCTAGCATTTCTTTAGTATTTAACAAATATTTTAGCTTTTTGTTCAATTAGTAATGATTGGGAGAAGCGTTTTTTAGTTTTTGGCAAGGTAGGCCCAGCCATTTCGAATAACGGAGCTAAATATGTAAAAAATGGCAGTTTTTGAGTGAACTAAGCGTCCGATTTGAATGATTCAAAGAACTTTCTGTTGTCTTAACAAAATAATTGATTCGGAAAAAAAAATTTGCTTAATTTTTTTTTTTTTTTTTTGTATATCGAAAATAATTCAGATTTTATTTTTAATTCTGACTATAGTTCTAATATACTTAAAATAAATAATTTCAACTGCAATTCAGTTTATATAATACTATAAATATTAGACAATGTTACAATATTTATAATAATTTATTTGAAAACATTCAGTATTCTTCGAACATTTCGGTACGGTACGGGAAGTTCCAGCAATTGCCTTAAGGCACGATGCCCACCCCCCACTAGTATTAATAGCAATTGAAATGGTTTGTCATTGGTTCTTCATTTTTTATTATTATATTTTTATGACATAATTGATAACTTTATACATCCTCAAGAAATTTATAATATATTAAGATTTTGTACATTGATAAATATATATTGCTATATAAAATTTTTGCACAAATCTATGCTGAAAAGTAAAACGTATCAAACATCTAAGACATTTTTTTACTATTTTTGAAATATTTAATAATTTACTTAAACAAGCCAAAATATATATTTTGAAAAGCTTATTAAATTCTGCAAAAACTGCATTTTAAAAATATACCATTTCATAATTTTTTTTGCAAAATTTTGCTCCCAAATAATAAAAAGTTGTGCACCTACACATGTATAACTTTCCATGCTTGCAAAATTATTCCAAGAATATCAATTATATCAATCTCAATTAAAGTGCTCTATTAAATAATAGTATTTTAATTACTAATTAATACTAAGATTTTAGAAATATAAAAATTTAATTAAATCCTGGTTTTGATATAAAAACTTTAAACCTTTGCACCAAAGTGAGCGCCATCATCAATATTCGTTTTATATAATATACTTGCTATTAAATCCTTTATTCAATTATCTTTAACAATCTTATAATTTTAAACTATCTTATTTACTATCTTATTATATTAAATAATTTAACAGTTTGTTTAGAATGTGAGAATCTGCTTAGATTGCACATGGGATGTATCAGGAAGTTTACATTAGAAAGGAGATGCGGACATTCATCGGACATAAATATCATTTGGAGGAAGATATAAGTCTTTCTCCAAAACAGGGCCGAATCGGGTAATAGATATTTGGTTTAATTTAAAAAATTAGTGCTGGTCAATAACGCGAGTTGAGGTGTCCTGAAACGTGGCCCAAATGTAATACATAGATTTTGTAGTAAATGGTGTAAGACTGCTGGGTTTGTTGAGATTGAGAGTATACCTAGTTGTAGAATTTTTTGGTTTTACACAATATTATAGAGTGTTTAATTTTACATAAATTTGCAAAATAATTCATATAAACAAATAAACCGTTCAAAAATTACAAGAGATTTACCCAAAATCCACCCCACAAAACTTGCACCTATACTCTAAATACTATACCTGTATTTACAGTCCCCAAGTTTCGACCATATACGTGTTAAATAGAGTGTCCGGTGCTTGGTGCCGTCGGCGTTACGGGACTTACCCCTACTAATTTCTTTGTCAAGTAAAATAACGGTTTTGTACTTCTTTGCAAATATCTTGGAAGCCACTGACATTTCATCAACACATTCTTAACAAATCTTTGCAACTCAAAAAGTTCTTTAAAACTTGTCTTTAAAAATTTTATCATATACCCAACGTAAACAAAAATATTTGCATCTAAACAACTAAAAA